TAGGTTGTTATCTGCTATCAGGGGGCTTGCATGCCTCCCAGGATAGTAATTGCCTGCTTTATTGTATGAGACACCAGAATGATCAAACCTGTTCAAGAATGAATTGTACTGCCCCTTTCTATGACGCATAATGCTGTGATGTATCCCCCTAAAGTAATATAATGTGTGGTTAGCAATAAATAAGGAGGCTCCCTAGTTCTCAAGAGGGCAGCTGAGGAAGGAGGGCTGCTTCCCATGAGGGCAGCTCCCATGAGGGTTGTGGACGAGAGGGCAGCTCCCGCGAGGGAGGCGGCTCCTGCTCTGGCAGCGGGGTTCCCCCCACAAGGACCACCAAGCGGGGGTCAAAATTTCCTGGTTAGCTATTATGTGCATGACACTGTGTTCTTTGTGACTACCAAACCCCCTGCCATCAAGCCCACGCCGACTCTTCGTGACCCTATAGGACAGGGGAGAACTGCCCTGTGGGTTCTGAGACACTGACTCTTTAAGGGAGTGGGAAACCCTTCTTTGTCTTTCTCCCTCGGAGCAGCTGGTGGTTTCAAACTGCTGACCTAGCGGTCAGCAGCCCAACGTGTAACCACTACAACAGGGCTCGTAGCCTCAACTACAATGCCTCTCGGAAGGAAGATTTTACTTAGGATCGTTGGGCTCATGTCATGCAGCTACCCACCAAAAAGAATTCCCCACAAAGAAGCACATCCTATCGCTCTTCATCCTACATGGGGTTCTGCCTCATCTTAACAAATCTAAACATCTATTAAGGATTTGTCATGTGCCTAAAGCTGTGAATGTAATTGTGAACAGAACCGGTCTCCAAGAAGTCACAGTCTGAGTAAAGATATATTATAAATTACTAATAAAGATTAAGATCAGAGGCTGACCAGGAGCACAAACCTGGGTCTGTGTGACTCCAGAGCCCATTCTCTTTAGCCAGCCCCAAGAGGATTAAGTCCTACTGCCGCCAACCTCTGGTGGCACTGTGGTGGCAAGCACTATACTATAAAACCCAAGGTTCAAATCCACCAACTATCTGTTCTATGAAGATCGGCAGCCCCGGAAGTCAGGTCCAGTGTTTCCCGAAGTGGGCGATACCGCCCCCTGGTGGGCTCCTGAGCAATCCCAGAAGGGCTACAAAAGCAGGGCTTGACACTACCCTGGGTTATGGGCAAAAGTTTTGAATTGCCAGGGGAGCGCTAAGAAATTTTGTTTTCTGAAAAGGGGGGCGGTATGCCACATAAGTTGGTGCACCTATGCTAAGGGTCACTATGAGACAGAATCAACTCAATGGTAGTGGACTGGGGTCTGGTCTGGCTGTAAGTGCAAATGAGCCCTGTGGTTAAGCATTCGGGCCCTAACTGAGAAGTCAGCGGTTGAAATCCACCAGCTACCCCGTGGGAGAAGGATGAGGCTCACAGGCTCGGGGTCCCTAAGGAGAAGGTCATCGGGTCACTCTGAGTCAGAATGGACTGATGGTGATGAGTTGGATTTGGTTTGGGTTTGTTTGTTTGGTCTGAAGTAATCCATTGTAAGTAACGTAGACCTTCTCCTTGCATCTAAATGACCCCTAGATTGGGTACCATCCTTGGAAGATACGTAAGAATTGCCCATCTCTAATCATTTTCTGTGTTCTGTAGTGCCGATGAGCGCCTCAATCTTCCATAGCGCCTTCCACTCTGGCTGCCTGTGTTGGGAGCAATGTAGGCACTCGAGCTGGGGCAAGGAATCTGCAAGTTTAATTCCGAGTTAGAAAAGATTTTATCTTTTCTGACAAACTACAGGAGCCAACCCACAAATCTAGTCCGCTGCCTGTCACATATTAGGTGATTAATAAGTATTTATGGAAGGAGGAAGGAACTATGAAGTTGAAGGTGACCCCTACCTACTGCCATCCAGTCGATTCCAACACAATGTGATGGTCAGTTTCCGAGACTAAATCTTTCTAGCATCAGCAAGCCTTAGCTTTCTCCAGCGTATTAGCTCGCTTACGGACCTTAGCGAAGAACACCCCATTGCTTTGTCCAAAGAGCAAAAAAAAATACCTCACTGCCATCAGTCAGTCCTGACACACCAAACCAAAATCAAATGTACTGCCATCTAGTTGATGCCGACTCACAGTGACCCTGTGGAACAGGGTAGAGTTTCGGAGGGTGAGTTTTGGAGAAAGTAACTGTTTAAGGGAGTAGAAAGCCCCGTCTTTCTCCCCTAGAGCGGCAGCTGGTTTCGAACTGCTGACCTTGCCGTTAGTGGCCAAACAGGGCTCTATAAAATGATTAGATAAGAAATTTCCAGTTCAGTAGATAAGGGAAGGAATTCGGTAGCCCTTCTTCCCCAGAGATCCCTCATTCGCACGCCCAGGTTTGTGATTGGGGGTGCGGTTCTTGGGAAGTGGAGTTTGGAATTGGACAGTGGGAGACCGATGCCAAGGTCCGTCAGAGTTGACGATTGGAGCAGAGCGAGGAGGCGGGGCCTGCGGTGGCAGGTAAGACTCCTGATTGGTTCAGGGGCCCTCGTCGCCAAGGCGCCGAGGGCGGGTGGGAGGCGGAGCCGGCGGGAGGGGCGGGCCCTCGGCGCGGGGGGCGTGGCGAAGCGGAGTGCGCCTGGGATTGGAGGTGGCCAGCTGGAGGCCGAGAGGAGGTGACGCGGCTGCGGAGGTGACGCCGAGTGGTCGCGCGCCCCTTCCGGCGCGGGGAGGGCGCTGAGGATCCCGGGCCGTTCGGCCACAGGCCGCCTCCAGAGCCGCGGGATGTAGCCAGGGGGACCGCGGCCCCCAGCAGAGCCTGCCGGCCAGAACGGCGGTGAGTGTCTGCAGGGTAGAAGGGGCGAGCAGGTGGATGCGGACTCGACCCGGGCACCGGGACCCCCTGGGCCCTCGGCCCAGGCCTGGGGAGCGGGCAGCTGTGGGGCCAGCCTGGCTCAGACTTCCCTAGCGCCCCCAAGATCGCGAGGTCCCCGCCTCGGAGCCGGCCGGCTACTCGGCCGTCGCGCTGGTAAACATTTCCGGCCCCTCCCACGGCGCGCCGGCCGCCCGGCGGTCTGGAAAGCAGTTTCGGGGCGGGTGGGCTGCCGTTCCCCGCCTCCACCCCGCGCCGAACCGTCCTGGTGAGTGTGGCTTGGGGCGCCGTGCTCGGGCCGGCCCGGCCGCCGCCAAGCCGGGCTCCACGGCTGCCGCGCGCGAGAGGACGGGAACGGGCCTGAGTCGCAGAGCGAGCCCCCTTCTTCGGTGGTCTGGGGAGCCCTGTCTCCAGCAAGTCAAACAGGCAGTACCCCTCCGTGGTAGGGGAGGAGGGGGGTCCAGGGCAAACCTACATGCTGAAATGTGCGTTGAATCTGAGTTATTTGAGGGGAAGATGGATTTTTATTCCTCAGTAAATCTAGGCTTGATGCCTAACATCGTATATTCGAGATGTTCGGTCATCTAAGTTTCTATATTTAAGGAAAAAGCAAGATACTTTCCTTCAGGTCTGGTGCGTCGTAGAGTGGGAAACGCAAGGCCGGGTACTTTGCTAGACCAGCCTTAGTGTTTGCCCGAGTATTGAGAAGACAGGCAAGAAAACACAGCCTGTAGGCCACAGTCTTAAATCTGAAACTTAAATCAGACTTGAAGACCTATCGTGGCAGGGTTGCTTTTCTGACCTGAAGTAGTTGGATCTGGTCCCTTTCTCTCTCTCTCTCAAAATGACAGTTGTGTAGCAGTAGTGATACCTTTGCTGTTGCTGAGCTCTCCTGGGATCTACTGAGTCGGAAGCTGCTCCGATGGCAGTGAGTTTGTTGGGATTTGGGGTTTGGGTACAGCGCAGGGAGTTTAGATGGGGTGGGGCTAAGCAGATTGCCATGTCAGAGTGGCTGCTCCCTGCCACTAGATTTCTTTATTCAGGCATAACATCTGTGGACCCGTCTTGTTGTGACTTGAGGAAGCAGGCGTTTTACCTGTGAAAATGCCCATCTGAAGATGATTCAGATTGTTAGTTACCAATCTAGTCACCTCATCGAAACTCACGGGGACCCTATCTGCAAAGTAAAACTGGTTTTCAAGCCCCTGTGGACTTTCCGAAGCAGATCACCGGTCTGTTTCCCAAAGCATCAGTGGTGGGTTGGAGGGTTAGGGGGTCCAACGCCATTGCCATCAAGTCCATTCACATGTGCGGACCCCCACAAAGCTATGCCTCATTGCCAGGTGGAATCTAAAAGCATTCTCTTCTAAGCGATTAAGAAATTACATGGTTCCCGAAAAGATTTTTGAAAAGCTAGGGACCACTTTGCCTGCAAGCCTGAGAGAATCTCAGGCAAGTTAACAGGAAGCAGGATTAATCCAGTAGCATTCCCTCCTCCCCTTCACCTATAAATAAAGTACCCTGTGTGGGCTTGTATGTCGTCTTCAGTCTAACTTTGTAAGAAGACTCCTTTATGGTAAATGGAGTCTCTCTTCCCCTGGAGCTTCTATTCTTTATGCCTTCTTGCCACTGTGGAAGAGCTTCCCACTGCTGGTCTTTGGGAAATCTCCCACAAAAACTTTCCTGATCACTCCCATCTAAGATGGGCCTTTACTTCTCAAATGGCTCTTGGCCTCTATATAAAGCCAGGCTGAGACTCTTAACGCTCTTGGTACATTCTCCTGCCCCTTCTGTTTGTGGTGAGCTCAACTGTCCTTAAGTCCAGAAACGTTAATGATAGCGATGTTTCCCCTGGTGCCACAACTTATCGAAGCTGTCACTTTTTTGTGCTCCATGACTGTTTGTTCCTACTGTCACCCACCCCACTTTATCTTCTCACTATACTCTAAAGTTGATGACCTCTGCCCGTTTGGTAATGCGGGGGCAAAAAGCATAATGGGTACTCACTGGGCTGTTAACCACAAGGTCAACAGTTTGAAACCACCAGCGAGAAAGATGAGCCTTGCTATTCCTCTGAAGCGTTACAGTCTCAGAAACCATGGGGGCACTTCTGCGTGGTCACCAAGAGTTGGAATCGATTCATTGGCTGTGAGTTTTTGGAATGTTAGGGCATGATTAAAGGTTTGAAGCTCCAACCCTTGAAAATGCCCTTCAGCCAAACCAGTTCCAAGTAATTGGTTTTTATGCGTGCATCTAGCTTACTTTTGTGTCATTGGGAATGCAAGAGTGCACAGCATAAACGAGTGTTTATTATGTAATGGTGTTGCCCAAATATCAGTAATATGTAGTGAGCTTGAAAGCTGTGTATAAACGCAGGGTGAAATGAAACTCCTTTGTATGCAGCTTTGTTTATTTGTTTGATTGTTTCGGCATGATGCTCAGAAAGCTTACCTGCCTGTGTTCAGGATGTAAAACAAAACAAATCTTCCTGAGGGTAACTTTAGCTGGAAAAGAGCTACAAAGAATATTAGCTTGATGATGTTTCAACTTCAGTCTCTTAAGTCAATGACACTTGGCATCAAGTAGTGAACTGAGGCCTCATTACTACATTTTGGTAATTTTCAAGCAAACCTTGACTTGTTTTTCCTCCACAGTAATACAGAACTGCAGTCTCTCACAAAGGGAGTGTGCAGAGAAGAAGGCACTGTGTTCTTCCGCTGTCTTTGTTGCTAGATTAGTCTTGCTTGAGAACTATCAGAATTAAGGTAGGCCTAGATAGAACCTTTCCTCGGACTCTGTCTTTGGGGGACAGGGACCCTAGATGAGAAACTCCTGGAAATTTGGGACCCTTGACTCCAGTGAAAGTATGCTCTCTCGCCTGGAAAACTTGGGACATGCTCACAGAATAACTGTCTCAGAAAACTGGAAAGGGAATAAATCATTCAGCAGACAGACTGGCAACGAAGAATTCATCTTTCCCCAAGTTTGGCGCTGAATTATTTTATTTGTAGGGTTACCAACATCCCTCTGCCCCCATAGCTTTACTGGATAATATCCTAGGCTTTGTCTTTTTGGAAAGCTTCATGGTAAAGATTTATTAGCTTGACTTGAATAAATCCCGTCAAAAACGTGCTCGGTGGAGTCTGGCATGATGACAATTTGCTACGCTGGGTGTGACAAGTTTGAGGAGAAATGTATTTCCTTCTAAAATAAGACATAGAAAGTTGAAGGTATATGTGCTCGCCTCTCCTGGGTGCTCCCAGAGTCAGTCTAACACCTTAGGGGTTTGTGCTGATTGTATAGAATAGAAAATAAGCAAACCCCAAACCATAGGGTCAGTACTAATTCCTAGTGCTGCTTTATAGGGTTTCTGATGCTGTAAATCTTGATGGGAGCAGATAGACTCATCTTTCTCCCTCAGAGCAGCTGGTGGGTTTGAACTGCTGACCTTGCCATTGGCAGTCCAACACTTAGCGGACCAGGGCTCCTTGGAGATTGAATGCTTACTTCTAATTCCCAGTTAGTTTGGAGTGGTTTCCCTCCACCCCCATCAAAACGGATAGTAAAGCCCAGCTGTTACTAATTCTTTCTTGCTAGACCTCCAATGACTCTCCCTGCCCTGGGTCTGTGTGACCACTGTCTAGATGGCAGAACTGGGGGGTGGGCTTTGCCTGCTTGTTACGCCATCTCTATCGCATGTGCCGCACTGCGTGCGGTCTTGTATGATGAACTGTTGATGGTGGCTGCTTTGTGAGATAACTAGCGCGGCTGAGGGATTTGGTGAGTCTGGGCGAGAAAACAGCGCAGAAGGCTATTAGAACTGGTGCTAGAGGAGATGGTTGGAATCAAAAGAATACCAGAAAGCGATTTGGCCTCCCAAGGAGGGAAAAGACTGATGATGGCCAAGGGACTCTAAAGCCAGCCTACAGAAATAAAAGGGCTTTTCAAATCAAATAAGAAAACTCGTGCGCATGTCCGCGTGGGTTCTGCGTCAGTTGTCTGTCCCCACACTATCTGTGCTGGTCTCTTAGTCTCGTGGTGTCAGCACTCAACGTAGCTGAACTAGGCAAAGTGATCTTTCTCGCCCCAACCCATCCCCCACCCCCTAACAATGGAGTTGCCTCCTTTGTTTTGCATCACCAAGTCTCTTAAGGCGTCTCTGAAGGAAATGGCCAGCCTTGCTCAACGTCATGTTTCGCCAGGCCCTGAGAATGACTGTGGGGTGCTAGGGCTGCCTCCGCCTGTTCACTGTTCAGGGACCGTGCTGACTGACCCGGACACACAAAAGGTGCGCACACCTTAAGCTAATGGCGAGTAGTAAGTGTATTAGCCCAGATGCTGCCCCGTTTGTTCCTTCATTCGTTTCTTGTTTGAAGTATGGGGCCTCGCCAACACGAGGGATATCTCGTATCCGTTGATGATCCCAGAATCTTGAGAGCAGAATTTTAGGGAGTCAGAGGCCTGTCTGGAAATGACTGGCGGTCGTATTAGTGGTGTGATGCCCTTCTCCAGGAAGCCAAGGCTATTTACCATTTGTGCTGGCAGGAGAGATTTGTTCTTAGTCAAGCTGTTGACTCGGTAGTCCTTGGCTTTGAGGAAATTCGTTTGGTGGTCAGCTACCGGAAAAGATTTCCTGCCATTTCTTCTCACGGGACTGCCTGTCTGAGGTTTCCAGGGGCCTCCAGCTTCCTGTTCTCGGCTCCGTTGTTGACTGTGACCTTGTTGGCATCCGCCTTGCCAGAGGCTCGCACGTTTAAAGGAGAAGGGATGTGAGGACACTTTAAGGGTTCGCATACAGTGAGCTCTTGTTCTTCCCTCTCTCGGACTACACTCCACCGTTGTCCTAGATCCAAGCTTACCGTTCACCTGACTGCAGAGACCCCAGGATGAATCCTGGAGAGGAACTTTGATGACTCCACTTGAGAAAAACCAGGGCTTTACAAGTCGTGGCTGGCTCTGAACCCTTTCCTCCTTTCCTCGCCGCTGCCCTTCACTTCTCTCCGAGGTCTGAGGGAAGACCGCTCCCTAAGGTCCAGCCCGCGGACGCATGCTGTGTCTGAGCCTTTTCCTAGAAAACAAGGCCCTGGGTTTCTCGACTTTCCTGCCATCTCTGTGTGTGCGTCGATCAGGTTTCCGCTAGGCTGGTCGGAGTGGGGCTCCGGTCATGGACTACTGTGCTTGCGGACAGGCTCTTGAAGAGCAGGTTGTGTGTGTGTGTGGCAAAGGGCAAGCCTGGGTCAGCTTCCTTGTCTTCAATTTCCTGCTTCCAGGTAAGCTGTTGCTTGCTTTAACCCTTTTGTGACTCCTGGGGCAGAGTGTCCACCCTCATTTCCAGCCTCAGGGTTTAGTGGGAAGCTTTTGTCCCACTTGTAGTCCATCTGCCACCTGGTGCGTGGCTTGTAGAACTGAGTGAATCTGATGACAAGGCCCTCACTCTACCAACCTCAGCCAGCGGCAGAGACCCCTCCGGATATAGGTCTCTCACTTGTATCAAAATCCATAGTGTTGCCAAAGGGTTTTGTTTTCCTGTTGTCCTTTCATTCAAGCTGCCTTCCGTGACTGAAAACATACAGTGTCAACAAAAAAATTCAAAGAAGAAAATAATTCCGTCTGGAAAGGGTTAAGGAGATGGGGTGAAAAGCTGCAGCCCACGTGTTGAGCCCTGATCTAATCTCATAATAGCGAATTAGTGGACTAGGGAAAATTCGCCCCCGCCGGGCACCCAGCCCACAGCAAGCTCCAACTCAGTCAGCATTGGGTGCCTCTCTGAGCCTGGGTGGGCTTGGAGGGATTGCAGTCCAGGGTGGGCCTCGGCTCTGCTCCTCCTTCTCAATACCAGCACTTCCTCGGGCCGCTTGAGAACTTTGGGAAAGGAAGACCAGCTCTTCTCCTCTCTCCTTCCCGTGCAAACGGAGTGGAGACCTGTGGGAGAAGGGCTGGCTCTCATTGAGAAGCCACATCTAAAGAGGAGCGTCCTCCCTGCAGGACAGGTAGCTGTTTTTCTGCGGTGACCACATGGTGCAATAACCCCATATCCTTGGAAGGTGAGCCACCAAGAGTGCTCTTTTCAGCCTTATCTGGAGGATTAGTGAGGTTTGGAACAAAAGTGGGAGGACAAGAAAGAGATTTCATTTCTGCAGTCCACTGGCCTCTAGCGTTGGGGGCAAGGAGGTAGCTTGCTTCTTCATATGTTAGCATGGAACTGTGGGAACCAAACTAGAAGGGGAGTGGCCTGCCAGCACCCTTCATGGTTAATGCCTGTGTTTCCTTGTAGTGCCGGCCACCACAGGGAGATCTCTGCCCCTTGGGGCTGAGAGACCCTCCGCCTTTCCTCAAGCTGAAGCGGCAAGGTATTGAGGTAGCAGCCAGATGTCTTCCCACAAAGGAGCGGTGGTGGCGCAGGGCAATGGGGTGCCTGCCGGTCACTTGGAGACGGACACGGTGGAACTGGCCGAACTGGGCCCCCTGCTAGAAGAGAAGGGCAAACGAGCAGCCACCAACCCAAGCAAAGTAAGTCCTCTTCCCCGGAGCCACTTCCTTGACCCGTGGTCTCTGTTTCTTCAGGAGAGCGCACCTCCCTCCCCAAAGGAGGATGCATAGTACCTTGAGAATGCCCCCGTCCGGTCCTTATCAGACTAGATAAGTATGTGTGTGTGGTTTGCCCACTGCTAGCTTTTGTGACTTCCCTCGTCGCGGTGACACCCCGAGTGCTTAGCACAGGCCCGAGATCCAGTAACACCTGCCGCCGCTGAGCCAGGTCTGGCTCCTTGTGACCACATACGTTAGCGCTCTCTAGGGTTTCCGAGACTTGAAGTCTCTGTGGGAGCAGACAGCCTCGTCTTTCTCCCAAGGCCCTCTGAAGTCCAGTAAGTAGTCAGCAAGTATCTGATGGAATGAAGAAGCTGTCAGAGGCCTAAGGAGGTTTAGGCCTGGTTTTATATCAAGTACCCTACAGCCCTTCCATTGATTATCTCACAGGCCGGAACTTAGTCACAGAGCCATATCCCGCCGCAGTGGACATTGGGAAGTACATGGAGTGTTCTTGTTGGGCAGCAGTCGGAGCTGGACCACTTGTTTACAGGAGAGAAAGAAAATAGCCCAGAGAAGGACTTGATATGCCGGGCTCGCCATCACTATAGGGTGGGGCCTTGAGTCGGAGAGAATAGCATCCCCTTTGACTGCGGGGCGCCCCAGTGTGCATGCAGGCTGCAAGGCTCCTTTGGCCATAGCGGTCCGTGCCCAGGCTTCTCACGAGACCAGTCCTAAAGCCCTGATGCCTTGGGGGCTCAGCTGTTGTAGCTGCCCCAGAACTATGAACAACATGACATTGTTAAGGGGATTTGTGAGACTCGGTGATTTGTTTTTCACTGTTTTGAGACTAGCAGCTTGGGACAGGAAAATATCTGGGAAATGGGGAAGTTGAGAACATTCACGGCCTTAGAAGATGGCGAAATTCCGACCAACTTAAAGCCCTGTGTGCTAATCCTGTGTCCCTCAGAAGCCAGGCTCAGTGAGCTTTCCTGTGTGCTGAACAAAGCTTTCTCTCCCACGTATATAGTGCTAATATAGGTGCTGCTAACCACAAGGGCAGAGGTTCAAATCCCCAGCCACACTGTGAGACAAAGATTCCCAGTCTCAGAGCCCTACATGGGATCGCAGTCCCCTCGCTGCAGTGGGTTTGTTTTTGAGTGCTGTTGTGTGCTCAGTCAGGTTTGGTGTCTGTTTTTTGGAGGAAAGGCCACGGGTCGGAGAGAGCGTGGCGTTGGATTTCCCTGGATCTCTCTGATCTCAGCTAGCCCAGTGTACGGGATGGCTCCCAGGGTTGGTTGGTTGTTTGTTCCTCCCGCAGACTGAAGAGGAGCAAACATGCCCAGTGCCCCAGGAAGAGGAGGAGGAGGTACGGGTACTGACGCTTCCCCTGCAAGCCCACCACGCCATGGAGAAGATGGAGGAGTTTGTGTATAAGGTGCAGCCTGAGAGCTTCTGTCCTGGAAGGGGAAGGGCAGCAGGGCACGGGGCTCCTCCCTCTGTCCCATGTTCAGACGGAGCATGCGTTTCGTTGGAAAGCTCATGCACACCTGTGGGTGGGTTTGTGCTTTGCTGAAGGCGCTGTGCTGGCCACTGTTCAAAGGAGCCTGGACATGGAGGGCCGCTGTGCGCCCGGGACCCTCTAACGGTCGTCACGAGGCCATGGGCTGCATTCATACTTACTCGTGCCTGGAGAGTGCATTTGTGCCTTTTGAGGAATCTGCAAATATGTAGGAAAGCACCTGGGTTTCACTGAAATTTCCATCCAATCCCTGGATTCCGTCTCTTCCTTGTCTGTGGCTCCTGGGTTGGAAAACTGTGCCTAAGACGATACGTCCCAGCCAAGTAGCAACTCAGAAAGTAATTAGGGGAAGGGTAAAGCAGGGGGCAAGCAGAACCTCCTAGAGGAGAGGGAAAATGAGGACTCTGCCTATTTGTGTTTGAATCTTCATTCTAAAAATCATAATTTAGAGTATGATTCTCTAATACCCATTTCTTTATTTTCATTTACTGTGTGTAGTTGGTTTTGAAATATCAAGTTGTTTAAAGGAAGTTACACTATGTTTTCCTAAAGATCCAGAATCACTTCTCAAAAGTACCTCCAGATGAACGAACATGACCCAAGGAGACTTCTTTAAAAAATTTTTAAAATGTGGGTCACTCGTGCTGTGCCTTGAATGCCTCTAGGGCCAGCTCGGTTCCCCACTGTTACCTCGCCTATCCAAGGTTTGATGACCATCCAGGCCAGCTGCCCTTCACTCCTTGTCCGTGGGGAGGCTGCTGTTCAGGCGTGGGCCTGGAGAGAGTGTGTCTGTTCTAGGTCTGGGAGGGACGTTGGAGAGTCATCCCGTATGATGTGCTCCCTGACTGGCTGAAGGACAATGACTACCTTCTGCACGGCCATCGCCCACCCATGCCCTCCTTTCGAGCTTGCTTCAAGAGCATCTTTCGTATCCACACGGAAACTGGCAACATCTGGACCCATCTGCTCGGTGAGTGATGGGCATGGGGAACATCCAATATCTTGTCTCCTTAGATGGCATGGGACTATATATAGCTTTTGCCCGTGGGGAGGAAGAACAAACGTGCTCGAATGGCTTGCTAGCTGGAATTGTGCCTTTAAATTGCCAGTGGCCTTAGTTGGCACTCGGTCACTGATCTGTAAAACCGGGGGAGGCAGGAGTAGAGACAAGAAGAAACAGAACTCTTTGTCCTTGGTGGGATCTGAGCAGAACTGCCCTAAAGGGAGACAATTTCTCCTCCTCCGAGATTTCCCATCGTCAGAACAAATTGCCCACGTGTCAGAAATGGATCTTTTTGTCTGAGCTCACAGGATCAGTGGTGTCATTTACTCTAGGAATTTTAGATGACAGTTCCCATTGCTACATCCTGTCGCTTGCTGATTTAATACTGTCAATTGTCTGATGCCATCAAAGCCCATTTGTAGGCCACTGGAGATCCCCTTGCAGAGGGGTCTCGGGGAGGAGACGAGCCAGACAGGGTGCGATGTAGCAACAATGAAAAATACAACTTTCCTCTAGTTCCTAAATGCTTCCTCTCCCGCTCCCACTATGATGACTCGAATTCGACCTTGCAAGTCTGGCTAGACCAGAGGGTGTACACTGGAACAGATAGGAACTGGAAACAGGGAATCCAGGGCGGATGACCCCTTCAGGACCAGTGGTGTGAGTGGCAATACTGGGAGGGTAGAGGGAGAGTGGGTTGGAAAGAGGGAACCGATTACAAGGATCTATATGTGACCTCCTCCCTGGGGGACAGACAACAGAAAAGTGGGTGAAGGGAGACGCTGGACAGGGCAGGATATGACAAAATAAACAATTTATAAATTATCAAGGGCTCATGAGAGAGGTAGGGAAAAAAATGAGGACCTGATGCCAGGGGCTTAAGTGGAGAGGAAATGTTTTGAGGATGACAAGGGCAATGAATGTACAAATGTTCTTGACACAATTGATGTATGTATGGATTGTGATAAGAGTCATATGAAGCCCTAATAAAAGGATTGAGAAAAAAAAAGCACACTTATTTTTTTCCAGCAGTTTTATTGGCACATAATTTACATATCATGAATAGTCCAATCGTTCAATCATATCAAGGGAAATTGTACAATCACCACCACATCTATCTTAGAGCATCCCTTCCCCCAAGGTTGAATCACCTTTAAAACGAGTTGTGCAGTCATGATCAATCCCCCTTCCCTACGTTATTTTTTTGTTTCACATGCTTTCTCTCTCCACCCCTCCCACCCCCACAGGTTTTGTGCTGTTCCTCTTTTTGGGAATCTTGACCATGCTCAGACCCAATATGTACTTCATGGCCCCTCTGCAGGAGAAGGTGGTCTTCGGGATGTTCTTTCTGGGTGCAGTGCTCTGCCTCAGCTTCTCCTGGCTCTTCCACACTGTCTATTGTCATTCTGAGAAAGTGTCTCGGACGTTTTCCAAGTGAGTGAAATATCATCGGTAGGACAAGACCATGCGCCATTGTGACCCCAGTGCTGACCAGGGGCTGGGTACTCCGGTGCCAACTAAAGAGTCCTTGCGACACGTGGGAGCGGCTGTCTGTTCTGTGGGGTGACGGTGCTGAAGCCTTGGCTCTTAAGTCCTTCATGGAAAACTCACTGCAGCCTTGTCAACAGATAGAATCATGGAGTATGTTTTCTCCCTGCCACAGTACAAAATTGTGACTCATCTTTTGTGAAACTTGAGGTGCCAGTGGGGTGTTTTCCAAGACCTTGTACCCAATACTAGCTTACCTTCCTGTTGGCCCAGCCAGCGCAGGGCGGGGTGAAGGATTCTGTGCTTCCTTCTGCCGGTGACCCTGCTTACGCACTCATCCAGTAAAGCTTATCTTGGCTGCCCATGCATTGCTGGGAGCCCCAGATGTTTGAGTGTCATGTTGGCCCTGATCCCCAACTCAGAACCTGGGTTCTGTTTGCTTGTAATTCTTCCCACCCCTTCACCCCAACCCCCACTCCCCCATTGCTACTGCTTTGGGTTGTGATGGTGGGAGGCCCCCCTCATCACCCCCAACTCCACTAATACCAGTAACTAAGAAAGTTAAAACAGAATAAGCCAGAGTACCTTTTAATAATACCCGAAATCCAGAGTTTGTTACCTGGAACTATCACATTTGGGGAATATTCAGAGCCCCTCCCAAGCGTGCTGGGAACCAGCTGGATTGTGATACAACTCCTAAATTTCTGCCCATAGAATGTAGCTGCTCTTAACAGGGAGAGGGACAAGATTCTGAGCTTTGAATCTCCACTATAAAAAGACACAGAGAACACAGAGACGCACGACCTTGTGGGATTTCACTGCAGGTAGCTGGTGTATGAGGGGACAAGGGTGAGCAAGGGGGCTAGCGGTGGTCAAGTCTAGGAGCAGGTGAAGAACAGCCTGTGAGCTGAGCTGTGACCGTGATCATTTCTCTCACTAATTTGTTTCATCTTTCGGCTCTTTTCTAGACTGGACTATTCAGGGATCGCTCTACTGATTATGGGGAGCTTCGTTCCCTGGCTCTATTACTCCTTCTACTGCTCCCCACAGCCACGGCTCATCTACCTCTCCATTGTGTGTGTCCTGGGCATTTCTGCCATCATTGTGGCGCAGTGGGATCGGTTTGCCACTCCTAAGCACCGGCAGACAAGAGCAGGTGGGTAGGAAAACAGCCTGTCAACCTCAGAGGTGTCATGGGCCCGTGGGCACAAGAGACTCAATCCTGGGCCCCTAAGGTTTACCACCCAAGCCCTGATTTGTGTTTTAGAACTTTCAAAGTAATACAGATTGTTGGATGTCAATTTCCCCCTAAATTTCATACCATTTCAATAGCATGTCAATAGGACCAATCATTACCTGCCTGGTCACTTGGCCTCAAGCTTAGCTATCTTAATATAATTTGTTTAAGACCATTAAAACCTGTAGCAAACCATCATTGTAGTAAGCTAAACCCTCAGCCATGTGGGTCACTAGGTTGGTGTCAGCCCAGGGTGTTGAGCAACACCCACAAACACTCCTACACCTACACCTGCCCTGGCACGGAGCCAGAGACATTCCTTTCCGTCCAGTGGTGAGCACTCTGGCCCACCCACTCACGCTCTGAATGGGTCAGGGGTGCCACCATGGGTCATTTTGATGTTGCCCCCACTGACAGTGTCGGGGCGTGTAATTCACAAGCACCTGCTGCTGCTGCTGCCCACAGACTCCAACTAGCGGTCAAAGTGAAGACACCCAGGCCTGTTGACTAAGGGATTAGAAGGCTTGGCTTGGTGAAGAGCTACTTTAATGATAAACACTGGTAACAACTAATGCCATCCCTCTGAGCGTAAACAACTTCGTTTGTGTTGTCTCCTCTGGGTTCTTATTTTCAGCCTTTATTACTTGCTGCAGCACCACCCATTACCACTCAGCTTCAGTCCTTTAGATTTCTTAAAGCTGCTGTGCTTTAAACCCTCACTTAAGAGAATTACATCTTTAGTAAGCGCCAACCGTGTTCTAGCACTGCTTAAACAGAGGTGGAAAAGGTCCGGTCACCCCTCCCTTCTGGTTCTGTGGCCTGGAGCCGTGTGTCGTGTCGTGTTGTATAGTGTGCTGGTGCTGCTGCCGCTGCCATCCTTTCTTCCCTTGCTATTTGCTGCCTAGTTTTGTGTCCCGGCAACAGCAGACAGCGTGTCATCTGCGTGTTTGATCTGCTCAAGTGGACAGAGTCCTGGCTCCTTAAAACTTTGGTGATCTTAAATAAGGAGCTTGTCCTCCTTTTTTCTGGCTGAGAGCCAGCTAGATTCTGTCCCTCGGCCATCAGGATTGACATAGCATTTTGCCTCCAGAGAGTGAGCCATGGCGGTGCAGTGGTTCTGTGCTTGGCTGCTAGCCACCGGCTTGTACCCACCAGCCACTCCAGGGGCGAGAGACATGGCATTGTGCTTCCGTACAGATTGACACCCTTGGCGACCAACGGGGCTGCCCTCTTCGGTGCTGTGGGGTTGCTGGAGGCAGAGTGGACCCTTCAGCAGGGGGTTTGCAGAGAGGAATAGGAGCACAATCTTCTGGAAGGATGGGTGGTTTGGTTTGGGTGTTCCTTAAAAGACAGTAGCTACAATAGCTGTCTGCTGATGGTCATCCATCTGGTGGACATTGCCTAAATACCGTATGGTTACACCAAAAAAACTCAGGTAGTTATCCAACAGGGTTAGATTCCAGAGAAGAACGGCGGCGCCTTTCACCTAGTGGCTGTTTCCTGGCTTCACAGTCCTGCATCTGTTTTGTTCAGGAGTGTTCCTGGGACTTGGCTTGAGTGGTGTGGTGCCCACCATGCACTTCACTATCGCCGAGGGCTTTGTCAAGGCCACCACCGTGGGCCAGATGGGCTGGTTCTTCCTGATGGCAGTGATGTACATCACCGGAGCTGGTCTTTATGCTGCTCGAATTCCCGAGCGCTTCTTTCCTGGAAAGTTTGACATCTGGGTAAGGCCTTGCTCTTCTCCCACCACTCTGACTGTGGGTGCCCTACACAACGATGAAGGGGGCTGAGGAAAGGGTGGGAAGACGCAGAGGGGTCATCTAGTGTCTGGGGCTCCATGCGTTGCGGGCGGGGTGTGTGAATCTTTGGGAAGAACTATTTTTCAGTTCTTTGGCAACATAGCCACTTTTGGGGTAACAAAAAACGTTTCCAGAGGAACTAGACGAGCAAATGCCCTCTTCCTGGTTGCTAGTTCCCCGGTGCCACTGTCTGAAAGCCTCTTCTTTTGTTCTGCAGTTCCAGTCCCATCAGATTTTCCACGTCCTGGTGGTGGCGGCGGCCTTTGTGCACTTCTACGGGGTCTCCAACCTCCAAGAATTCCGTTATGGCCTAGAAGGTGGCTGTACTGATGACTCCCTTCTCTAACTCTCCTCGCCAGAGGGGAGGAGGAGAAACTTCCCAAGTGCTTTGAAAAATAACTTCTTGACTGAAGTGAGAGGAAGAGTCCGAGTTGTCTGTTTCTAGAAGAAACCTCTCAGCAAACTTCGGTCCACTGTCACACCCACTGCACGGTAAACGTCCCATTTCCCTACCTGGGAAGGCAGGGGATGGTCTATCTTAGCCAAGGCACCTCGTCCCCTCACAGAGACAGGACTTTGAAGCTCATGTTGAGATTTTACCCCCTCTTCCAACCATTTTGGAAAAAAGTGATGAACTGGGACTCTTCAGAAATTATGTTTCTGGAAGAAAATGTCCTTCCCTCACCCCCCATCCGTACTTTGTAACCTGGCTTATCACGGGCCATCCGTTTTTGTAGCACACTTTTCAAAAACAATTCTAACCTGGCCCCACCTTTCTAGGGCCTGCATCCGCTTACACAGCAGGAGAGCAAAGCCACCAGCTCCTACAGAGCCCACCTCCTCATGGAGGTGTGTGTGTCCAGGCTGCACTTAACTTGAGTTTTAATTTTTTTTCCTTGGCAGAGTAATGTAAAATTAAAATGGGGAAAGATATTTAATATTTAATACTAAGCTTTAAAAAACCTGCTATCATTGCTATGTATCTTGATGCAAAGACTATGGTGATAATAAAAGAAAGTACAGAAGACACTTGACACTGAAAAGATTTGACACGTGTGGTCTCAACTGTTTGCACACAACTGCAGAGGCCTAAAAGCGATGCTCACTGCAGGTTCTACGGAGGCATACATTTGAGTGACAGGCACCGAGAGGCTCTATATGTTGGCTAGTCAACGAGCCTGGCAGAATTTCTAACATCTTGATACAGCTTTATTTTACTCACTGCACAGCCACTTTATTAGGAATATACTAGAGTTCCATTAAAAACCATCTTGCTTGATGTTGTCTCATTGGGGCCACTCCATCCTCCATGCAGTGGCGTGAGTTCTGTTCGCTGCAGAGTAAGCCCAGCCATGATCACTGCTCAGTCATACCGGCAGCTGGAGGGAGCGTTGTCTGGAATCGCTTCAATACCCAAGTTTGTACAACTGAGAGAGTAAGTGAGCCTTTAAAACATTAATCCAAGTAGGCCAACAGGAAAAGTTCCTCAACCTCAAGCGATAACTAAGGAATGTAATTAAAACCATAGTAATTGGCCAACTAGGTTGGCACAATTAAAGCCTAATATTGAATGTTAGCAAAAATACAGAACTATGCATTGGTAGAAGTGGTTTGGACTGATAAGCATATAACATAGAGATATTTCAGGAAACAGTGTAATTTGAGTTGTATCTGATAACTATCTCAAGTTCCTTCATTTTTTAAAAAATGCTGATTCTGGCCCACTAAATCATTTTTTTAAGTCATGAATGGATCGCAACTTTGAAAAACACTGACAGACTTGCACCCAAATGTCCACTGCAGCCATTGGTAGAAGTGTCCTTCAGAAAAAGCATGAAGGCCACATTTGGCCTCTGGCTCACAGGGCAGGGGTCAGACATGTCTCCACCTTTCACTCCTTTTTACCTTATTCTAATACTCTTCCCAGGGCCCTCCTGTGGTTGAGTTCAATCATTCATTGTGGTTGCCACACACATCTCACAAATGGCTCACAGTTGTAGGGTTTATTAGGGATGTCAGCAGGTCGTAATTCATGTGAGAAGTGCTCAGGATACAATTGTCTTCCCTGTTGGAGGAGCAGGCCAGCCTCTGGCCCTCCACCCAGCTCAGACAGTGTCTCAAAGTTTTAGGGCTTCCCAAAAGCCTCAAGGGCATGCCACTCCACTGTGAGCTTCAACTTGCAGGCACTGTGAGTCAATAAACCCAGTTCCCCCAATTAAGTGCCCACAAGCACCCTGCTCCCCAAGCTAACCTGCCCCAAAGCACCCCGCTTCACTTGTTCTGTGGGCTGGGAAGGCTCATGCTCCGCCTCCTGGTTCTGCAGTTGATGCTTCTCTGGTGTCTTTGTCTCAGATCAGGGAGGTTCAATTCACAGGTGTCTCGGGCCCAAGGACGAGCTCCACTCCTGGCACTTCTGCTGGTAATGAGATTGCCTTTCTGAGATGGCTCACTTTAATACCCAGCAGGATGGTAATCACAACCCTGTCATTAATCACACAGCTACATCATAATCCAATCAGTATCTTCCCCCCACTTTCTTACCCAGACCCATCAGGGAAATGATGGTGTTTGCAAAGCAGGAGTACAAAGTTACATCATCCACTGCATCGTATGTCCAGACTTGAGTGGAAAAATAAACCTTGATGTATTCATCTAATGAACCACTAACCAGCTACAACAGATGAATTACAGAGACAGAACCTGATGGGTCCTCAGAAATAGGAGGAGGAGAATGCAAACGTGTGATTATATCTATTTAAATTTCAGAGATTTGCGAAACTAAAGATAGTTTAAACACCACTTTTAAATAAAAAATTTTAAAACCAGAAACTGTTAGATGTCACCCACTGAAGCTGAGTGAGCTCTTCAGTTCCCTGCCCAGCCCACGAGTTTGCGATGACGAGTATAAAATGGGAAGGAAACAGGGACCCAACTCATCCAACTCAGTAGCTGAATCCTAGTGTGTGTACAGTATATGTTTATTTTTTCAGTAGTAGGACCAAGGAAAAGCATATTACAGATAATACTGGGCACTTGATTTATAGTTTTCATTAGTCACTTTACATCTCTAAATCAGTGGATTAATAGTATCCTCAATCAAAAGGTAGAAAAAAGTATGACTCCATATGGGTAACTGGTGTTTTCCAAGATGGCATGTGAGACTGGAGCCAGTACTATCTCTGACTGCAGATCAGCTGTTGAATGTAAGCCCCTAGGCCAAAGCGTCAGATGGAGCAACAATTCTTGCTCCTTCTTTCTATCTACCCGTCTCTAGCAGCACTGCGAACTAGCAGCAAGTTGCCTTCCTTCTCTAAGTTCTATTTCGGTTCATCCATTCACTTTCTAAAGACTTCTGGGGGATCTGCTATGTTGCAGGCACTAGATAAGGAAAAATCACTGATGATAAAATGCTTAGGAGCTGTGATTTTAACTCCTCACGATAAGTAAAAAACTAGGCAGGTGGGTGGCATAGAATCTATATGCTACCCGTCTCAAATAGATGTAGAGATTTTGGCATCTTAAATTCTTACAAATGTCTGTAAGAGCTAGAAGAATTCTTGAATGCATTCTGTGTTAGTCTGGGTGATTGAGTTAGAGTCAATAACTTAATGTAAAGAAAAATCGGGAGCAGCTCAAGAGTGACCAGACATCAGAGCGAGCGATACAAAGCTGAGCCCTGTGAAGAAATGCAATGGAGGTTGGGACAAGCACCCTAGACTGCCCTGCAATCCAAGCAAAGCAGTACGGCCCTTTGTTTGTGGATGTCTTAGATCAAAGGCTGAAGACAGAGGGGCCCCTTAGTATCACAGGGGTTCCTAATAAGGGTCGGGAACCAGCTCTGAGTAGGGATCGCCTCATCCATCGCTCAAATTCATCCATGAATTTCACAGCAGTAGCTTGGGCCCTCAGGTCCTCACCCACTGCATAATAGAAAGTATTGTCCACACAAATTACAATATAAAAATGCAAATATTCTGCCTAACTGGTTTATAAATCGACCTAAACTCTCATCTACTCAATCTGAGTTTTAACACAAAACCTTTCAGTAAGGGCAGGCCCCAATCCCAAATACGTGGACAGCCTCTCCTACCCCCAGAATAATTCA